GAAGTCAAGGTAGACCACATTCACCGCTCTGATCAAATTCTATGAGCCATGTTAATCACAATAAAAATAGGGGAAAAAAATCCCCTACTTCAGAGGTAAAATTAACATTTTTTCATTCCCTAGCCCAGTATTACCTTCCGTCTTCCTTAGAACTGGCATTTTATACCTGATACAACTCACATTTCTAATTTTTAATTTCATACTTGTTTTTTTAATTACTTTCAAATTTAATATTGAATGCCTTCAATACTAACAGATTCAACTCACCTGCAGCACCAGCACAGCATCTTGTGAGCAAGAGCAATTAAACAACTTCTTTTTCTTTTCTGCTCAGCTTTACCCCCATTCCAAACCAGTACTTATTACCATCCATGAAGCTCACATACAAACCCCACTGAGAAGCGTGTGAAGAAGCAGGCTAAAAACACCAGGAGAGGAAGATAAGGAGCAGCCTTCCTTTGGGATGAAGGGCTGGTTTGTGCAGACACGCTGACAGCGGCTGCCATCTGCCGGCTAGAAAAATAAAATTTAAAAAAAATCATCCCTTAAAGAAACCTCTTGATCTGAATTCAAACTTTGACATACTCCTTTTTGGCCCACTGGAGGGGGTTCATTTTGTGCATTATCTGCACCCAGAGGTAGGCTTATTTGAAACTTTAAGATTTTCCTAATCGCATCGCTTATGCCAACTGCAAGGTCTATGTAGATATGTAAATGTCTCATATATAAAAAAAAAAGCAATAGCCCCTGAAATTCCAAAATAGGGAACCATGACATGCATTACACAGGTGACACACGTGCTTTGGCTGTCCCTAGGAAAGTTACTGAGGAACACAGAGCTTACCTCACTACAGAAACACGCAGCCTCTCCTGCACTCAGTCCCTCCTCTCCTTGGGAAACGCTGTTCAATAGCCAGCTCAGACACAGCATTACCTTATATTAAACCCTCCTTCAACAGCTTTTCTCTCTTATTTACTAATTGGAGTAAGACATTAGGTCTGCGTCAGAGCAAACGACGAAGTCCACCCCTCGAAAGTCCAATTTTTTGGTATTTTACTTTATCCGCAATTTACCACATTTTACATCAGTAAAAAAGCTAAAATAATTACTATCACCAATCTAGGATCTTGCCTCACTGTGTAAAAGCCCAATGTATTAAGAATAATTTAAAAAGGTGGATTTCCTCAAATGCCTCATGTTGCAGCAGAAAAGTGCATTTGAGTAACAAATCCAAAATCTGTTGAACTATTTTTACTTCAGGCAAATGCCACTTTCTTATCATCTCAGCCTTGAGTAGTAAATCTCTTTACACATCAGTACCTAATCAACATATTCTATACTCTTCTCCCAAGTCAAAATCGATTTTACTGCTTCAAAGAGATCCAGACAAGCACAAGGCTGTTAGGTAAAGAAGGCTGCAGGAATATACTACCTTGCTCATCACACATTAATAACTAACTAGTATGTGCAAGTTTATGTCAAAATGTGTCTGCTACTGGCCACAGTTGGACAGTTCATGGGCTCCATGGTACCACCAAGAAGTTTTAGTAAGGTTTCCAGAACAGGGATTCAAGGGCAGGATTAAGGGGCAGTTAATGTTTAATAAACAATCAATCATTTTATGAAACGTCCAAATTGCTTATATTTTATCTTTTAAATAACAATTGGCTTTGGTTTCCTAGACAAGAGGGACAATAAACTAAACTTGTCTTCATAAAGAGCATGATCAAGTCAATCTGCAGCACATGTATATTTTTGACCACCCTTATGTTTAAGTTACCTTTAGAAAAAGCAGCCCCCATGCCTAAGCAGTTAATAAAAAGTTGTCATGGATAATAAGTCATTTGTTTTTCAGTGGGTAGTAGAAGTTCTTGTGTTTTCTGAAGAAGCGTTTTTTCCATTTTTCCAAGTAAGCTGTCTGATCTCATTTTGCCTTCACTGATGCTTTGTCTGGCTAAAATCTATGGTTAACAGGGTTGGCTCACCACACAGTTGGCCACATGCAGTTGAGCAGCAACACGATCTACCTTTTCATTACACAAGTGGAAAAACTCTCACAATAAGTGAAAAATTTCTTAAAATACTTAGTGATGCAACTTCCAATCAGACTGATACAAATCACCTGGTTAACACTCTATTTTCAAGAATGATAAATACATTTGAAAATTTAAGCCCTTGAGTTAGAAACAAGACATAACTCTGCTTCTCTCATCTGTTCTGCTTTTTGGTAACAGTCACAATATCTTTAGACTACTGATATATTTACAAGATTCAAAACAGCCAACTGGTGGCTTTACAGTAACAAATAAGATTCCCATTCATTTAATTAAGTAACACCCAGCACCATCACTATTATGAACACTACTAAGCATCTCTGCATAGCTATGAGTATCTAAATAACTTCTGAAAACCAGACCAAGGTTCTCAGGAATGCTTAAAAAGACATTCAGAATAGAATACAGACAGACTATCCAAATCCCACAGCCAGGAACACAAATCACTAAACAGTCAGGGTCAAATTCCCCTTTGCTCAGAGGGCCTGCAGCAGTTTGAATCACTTAGCCTTTTTCAAGTCCTCAAAACAGAGCTCGCATTAAAATATACTAAATGACTGCAAGACAAATTAATACAATCAAGGTCATGTAAGGAACAGAGCTGCCAAATAATGTAGTTCTTCATCCATGAAGTATTTTCCCATGAATTACAAAGTTTTGGTACAGCAGAGTGAATTTTTAATAGTACACTACCACATAAAGCTCTTATTTCCAATAGCATTGTCCAAATACACCTTAAAGAGCATTTAAGCTTTAGGTTTCCAAAAAGTGTTTGGTTTTTTTTTTCTTTTGAAGTGGAGCATATGCAAATTGCTTGCAGCACTTCTGCAATCTGGGGGATTATTTCAATGACCTATTCTTGGGCAGCCAACTTGTAATGTTTCAACGTGCGAGCAGAAGGATCAGTAGCTTTAACCCATCTTGGCATCCAGTAGTGGGGCAGCCAGTTGCTTTGCCCTGGATAGTGCTTTTCAAAGATCTCACGGTAGTAATAACTTTCCTTCGTTTTAGGAGGATTAAAAGGATATTTCTCTGCTGCCTTTTCCAGCAGAAGGTCATCAACCTATAGATATAAGCAAGACAAAAGTTAAGCTGCAAATACATTAAACTTTTTTAAGTCAATTTGCTGCAAGTTATAAGACATACAAGGATTCACCAACCACTGAATGCCCATAGATTTTAAGAGTCTATTCTAGAGGCAGAGGTTTCTGACAGGAGAATTTTTGTCACAGATTCCCTTGATCTTTATGAATACATAACTATATTTCCATGCTCTTACTATTTCTCTCTGCATTATGTGTGAAGCCCATTTCTCTTTGGGTACAATCACCTTTGTTAGTAAGCTCACAAAAACTTCTTTACTATCCTTGACTTTGCTGTGAATCAACTGGAACAACATAAAGCAGTCTTTTTGCCATGTAAGTGGCTTCCTACCTTTCTGTTCAGCTCAGAGTTGTTGACTCTGTTTCTATAACCAAGCCCTTAGCAACAAAAGACCTGGGATGCAGAGGGAAAGACACCTGCAGTTGCTAAGCTGGCTAGGAAAGGGAGGGTGAATAGTTGCACCAGCTGAAGCAATTTCTTAAAGCAGCTCACTTCTACTGCCAACACGCCATCTAACTCCTCACAGCCACAAAATAAATTTACCCCTACTACACCAATGCAGGCTCAGTGCAGGCAGCACAACACTGGTGCCTGACCCAACTACTTTCTTGCCTGTGGATACAGAGAATGAAAATGGGAAACAAGCAGTTAGTGGTAGGACAGACAAGCACCCATACACCACAGGTTCAACTACACGTATTTCTGTATAACAGAGCTCTGGTATAAATTGGTGCTGCTCCTTCTTGTCAATGATTAAACTACCTCTGTACACCAGAGATGTCCAAAGCCAAAAACTGGTTAGCAATGCAAGCAGAGGCTTTAAAAAGCAAAAGGGCTTAGCTAGGCATGGCTGGAGAAAACAAACAACATAAACAAAAAAGGGCATTATAAAGTTATTATGCTGTTACTCAGCTGAAGAATAAGTTCATGCAAGTGCCTTCAGCTGAAGCAGCTGCTTTGCATGTAGCCCAGAAATTGTTTGCTGACAGGCAATCTAATTTGCAATCCAGATACTTAAATGATGTTCATTTCCTTACACAGTAATGTCTGTCAGGCTCTAGCATTTCTTTGTGTCTGAGATTTCAAATGCCTTTAACCAAGTCAGATAGCTAGAAGACCACTGCTTAAAGTTTATCTTGCTCCTCCACCATGAAGCTCAAGTTACTGTCATACCAATTTATTCTCCCAACTAAGCATGTGACCTGCCTGCCCTTGACAGCCATATCTAATATACTTAAATGTGAAAGAAAAAAAACACAAAAAAAAAGAAAAAATAAGCGGTACTGCACCTGTTGATCAATATAGTCCTGAAGAATAGAAAACCAGGATTTCTTTACTGATGCTATGCCATCACTGAAAGCTTCTTTGGGTCTCCAGAGTATTTCTTTGGGAAGCAAGTTGGAATCTTCAAAGGACTGTCTTAAAAGGTATTTTTCAATTCCATTCTGTTTGCAGAACAACAAACAATGTAGTGAGTCTCAGGAAGTTCAGTACAAAGATGTGGCTTTAAACACTTAAGACATGGTTTCCTTTCAGAAGGTCGTCAGAAAAGGGCTCCCAGTAGTCCAACAATCTAGCAAAACATTTAAGAGCATACTTGACTTTGGGTAGAGGAGTTAACCATCAAGTTCAGCAATTTGGCCATGCTTAGAACACATAGCAGTGAATTTGTAAGCTTACACTTTGGTCCAACCCTAGTTTTACATACCTTTGGGATTCGCAGTTCTGCTGGTAGAGATAAGTAATAAGAAGTAAACCGATGATCCAAAAATGGGACTCTCAGTTCAAGACTAAACAGAGTAAATAAACAGAAAAGATATTGAATTAATCCAACAAATCATCTACTTATACATTTTGTAACAGTTAAGCTTTCCCTGTCTTTCACATAAACACAAGGTTTTCTGCTTTTAATTAGAAGAAATTTAACTTCCATATCCATGACTATCTGCGTTTAATTCATCAGTTTGGAAAGATAAGTACATGGTCTGCACAGATTAAAGATCTCCATTTATGATGCCATCTGCTGGGCAGCTTCTAGTACAATGAATTTAAAGACTACAGTCCTGCAAGATTTGCAACAACTGTTGTTCCATCTAAGCAAAACCACACTGAATAAAAGTCCTGTTACCTCCAGAGAACTATCAAGTTGCTCACTGGGATTTACACCAGCATCTGTGAAGACATCACAGAACCAAGCAAGGATTTCTGCTGTCACTTCTGAAATCCACATTTGTTTGTGTTTTCAAGAGACAATGAAAAGGAAACTGCATGGACACCATTGCACTATAAGTTACTGATCCTACAGCATTTGCAGAAGTTCTCTCGTATTCAAAGACAAATGGAGATTTTATACTGCATTCTAGTAATTTCCTTGTCTCTGTAGCTTCTCCTTTGATAAAGCTTCAGCTACTTCAGGTAATACCCACCGTACCAAAAAAAAAAAAGCTCCATCATTCAGCAATCAAGTACTGAGGCTCGGTTTCCACATATACTGACCAGATGTGCATTGCAAGTTTTTCCATACAGTAACTTTTTTTCTAACTCATAAAGGTACTTTCATCACTTCCACTCTACTTTTAATTCCTCTCCCTTTTCTCCATAAATGTGAACACCTTAAATTCAATTTGGTAATACAGGGTTCTTTCTTCCTAGCAGTGCAGTGAAGCTTCTCTTCAAGAAATGGCAACTCTCTACAGAAGAGCAGCCAGAGCATGATATTAAACAGCCTTGTATAAGTAGCCAAACTTTTCAGTGCAAAACAAATTATGAGGCAAATGGCAGGTCTCCTGCACCCTGTCCTTCTCTATATAGGAAAGGAAAACATAAGAACATCATTTCAGTAGTTTTTAAATTCTTCATACACGTGCTGATTATCAGATTCAAGATTCCTCTTTGTCTAAATCTAAAAAAAAAAAACCAAAGTCACATACAACTCTGCCTTTCCTCCTTCACTCTGCATAGTTATGTTTCTAATTCACTGCTTCTATAAGGACTAGTACAATCACAGGCAAAAGATATTTCCTGCATCAGCTGGCAACACAGTGGGCCCCTAGAGTCACAGAAGATGAGACTGAATTTTGCAGTGTGGTTTGCTGTTGCTCAAATTCCTCAGGCTACAACTTCAATTTCACCTTGGCATACAAATGCCCTGCAGTCTTGCTCCAGAATCAAGAGCTACTCAAGCAGAGTATGGGGTGCAGCCCATTTGCTACTACTACTCTGAAGACCAATGATCAACGTAGAGTAGTTAAGAACTAGACAGTCGGAATAAAATTTGCCTGCACCACAATATTCTGAATCACTTAGTAATTCAAAGAGTAAGAAGTCAACAATAAACTGTTGTAATTTACTCAAGAGCAGCAGAACTTTTAAGATCTTCCTAGGCTTCTAAATCATGTGAGTCCTCAGCATCCAAGAGGCTATGTTTTACCCGTGTGCTGCAGTAGTTCTGTCCGCACGAAGCACATCAAACAGGTAGAGCTCCTTCAGAAGCCGCTCACTCTCTTCCGCAGCTTCTTCGGGAGATGGCGCCTGTAAGCAGACACATCCATGTAGCACACAGACACAATACAGTAGCACTGAGGGAACCATTACTTGCTGTCCTGTGTTTAAGTAGTAATGATCGCTGAGTGATCTCAGAACTAGCAAAGCTTACATACAAGAAATAAACAGTCTCAGGAATTTTTGCAGTTTTAAAAAAGGGGGTTTTTTTAGGTGATTAAATTAAATCCCTTGGATTTTATGCTACCTCAAGATAAAGTCTAAACAAATATACAACTGTGAAAATTCTCAAACATCATACCTTGAAATATCAGAGATTTTCCGTTGAAGGGGAGAACAAGCAGCTCATGGGCTTTCTGTACAGGGAATGTATTTACCTTATGGAAATATATATATCCTTGTGTCAGCTCATCTGATCCTTCTCCTGAAAAAATGACCACGCTGTCTGTTTTCTTCCGTATGTATTTGGAGACAAGATACATACCTTAAAAAAAAGTATAAAGTTATTAAAATACAGTGACATGTACATGCAGCTTGTGCAGTTTTAAATTTAGCATTTTAGAAGTTTCTCTCCTACACTACTTTCTTCTGTGGCAAACAACTGCAATGCACTAAAATAACACCCAATTTTTGTTCAAAGCTATCAATAATCACACTAACGAAGTGCCGCAAATACATCTAAACTGTGTACGTACACTTAGCCCTCAAAATATGAGTGTGTGACTGTGATCCTGGGAATGCTGGAGGATTCCTGTGGGAACACACAGAGGAGTTGTTCTGACTCAGTTCAAAATTAAGCACATTATTAATTCCAGCACAGTCCTGAACAAACCTTCTAGCTTTGGAGAACAAAACTACCAGCAAAAGTTTCTGCTTAACTCTTTGCCACTGTGGGTTGAACTGGATGAAGCCCTTTTTTAATTGTATTTTTTTTAAATAATTAGTTATTAATCAGAATTATTACATTAGCGATCTAATGTAAAGGACCTAGTTCCTTATTTCTCATACTAAGCAGCAATCACAAAGAAAGATTACAGATGAAAAGTTGGCTTTATTTTTTAAAGAAACATTTCCAATATTTCACATTGCAAAGTCCTAGCATCACATACCAAATTCCACTCCGGGAACTGGGTTTTCCACACTGTGTTCCCTATTTGGCTTACTAACTTTTATACAGTGTTTTAGACTGACACAAGATTAACTGGGTCAAACGTCGTAGCTGGCACTGCACAGAAGGTCACACTAGATTAGGGCTTTCCATTCTTATCTGGTCAGTAACCCTTTGCAAGAAGCTGCCGGTGACTTTCTTCATTTCTCAGCATCAAACATACACTATGAGAAGTCTACCTGACTTGTGTGCACATGTGTTGCTAGACGGTGCCAAGAAATACCTCACTTTAGTATTAAAACTATGCAAGGAATAGGGTAATTGTAACTGTTTTGCTATCATAACATTCAGTACCTTAGATAACCTGTAAATTTTCCCCCTTCCTCCAAGGTTCATATTTATCAGAGCAGGAACCCTAGAGCTGTAGATCTAATGTTTCTGCTTCATAAAACTTTTTTTTTTAATCCCAAAGCTTCATGAACATCTCTTGACACTTGTTTTCTACAGTCAGTGACTTTAAACCTAATAACTGGTTTTGACTTAGCATGGTATCATAGACAAGATCAGGCAGCAGAACCTGGGAATCCCAGTTCGCAGGTTCTGTGACAGCTAAAGCATCTACCTGATGACTAACATGATTTTGCATCAAATTTTATTTAGGTGATAAAAAGCAAAAATTTCTATTAAAAAAAAAAATTCTTACCAATTGAAGCTCTTATTGTTGTGATGTCATAGGTTTCCAAGGAGAAGATAACCTCCTCTATTGCCTGAATTCCTTCTTCAGAATTAAATATTACTTCATGATGTTCACTGCCTATATGTGCTGCCACCTGTTTGTAAAAGGTAATAACAATAATGTATTGCTTTTCAATTAAAATATTTTAAAACATACATTATGTTTAAAACACACACATTGAGTGAAAGCACCAGCTCCCTTCTGCCATAGTGAGAATGATATGACATTAGGCCAAGAAAAGAGAATACGGTAGCAACCCCTCTGACTTGCAGTGATACATTCACCAGAGGGAACATTAATTCTCCTTAATTACCGTGTTTGATCAGGGTTACAACAGCCCATCCAGCTGCTTGCCCAGAGCATAATAGAATCTGCACAGGCTCTAAGTACTCTGGGTATTTGTTCTGAAGAGAAAAAGCAGCTCAGAAGCCATGACAGCCTGGACACCTAAAGGGTACACCAGATGCCAAACAGTTTGTACAAGGCTCTTAACTCAGTAAACTGACGATTAATCTACAATATTTAACATATATACAAATGCCATAGCATAGGAACCATAGCATGGAGATTTACCCTAAAACCCAGAGGCAGAATTGAGACAACTCCAAGGTACCATCTTTTTGGTACCAATGCAATGGGAGTCTGTCATGAAAGTCTTCCAAATGCAAGAGAAAAACAGGTAAGACTTAATTATCTTTTTCATAAGATTTAACTAAGCAACAAATGTTGTACTAAATTATTTACTGCAAACTGCTTTACATCATAGCAATATATGAATATTCGGTATTACTATTAATACCATACCATGAAATCAGCACCATTAATACACACAGTTTAACACTGAGCAGCTCAGAACAAACTGGAAGCAATACTTGCTATACCTTTCTGGCAGCCAGTAAGTCAGGACTGTTTTCCATTCCAATTGCAAAGGTTTGTAATGGATACTTGATGTTGATTTCTTTCATTTGTTTCAGAAGAACAGCTGCAACCAAGCTGGAATCTAAACCCCCTACCAACAAAACAAAATATCTGGTTAGGTGTTTGACTGTTTGGGGTTTTTTTCTTTCCTGTGAAGGACACTGAATCTAGAGAGTAGGATCTCATGAGTGTGCTTCATTTTTAAGTCATGTGAATCCAAGGTACTTGTACAAATGCAAATTACCTCTGCTTAACAAGAGAATTGGGCAACTTTAGTGGAACATCTTCAATAATAGTTGTTAGTACTTTTGGCATCTGAAGCATCAGTGAAAATCCTTCTCTGAGATACACAGAAAATATTCTGAAAACACTGTACCACTACAGAACATTGCCCTTCTCAACTCTGCTATAAGGGGATTTCTTCTCCATTTCAGAACTGCTCTCTATCCTCTTCTTACCTACACATACGATACTCTACTGATAGAACTATGTAATTAATCCTTTATTGAATAAAAAATAATTAAGAGAACAGAATGTTTACTGTAAGGATTCCACTCT